GAGATAAATAAAAAATGTATGAATGAACATTATAAAGAAAACCGGGAAAAACAAACCCCACCAATTCACAACAATTACAACAACAGTCCTCATAAAAATTTAAAAAAGAGCGAATCTAGGTTTGCGTAAGGCCTAATGCCAAAGAGGGATAGCAAAAAATACAGGTCGATACATTGAATCTTGCGCATGCCTTGTTTAGAAGATGTCACACGACTACTAAACTTGCTGTGCTAAGGTCACTGGATTAATTTTCTTTTTTAGCAGACAATTTTAATTGCATTTGGTTAGGGAGACGTCTTAGGTTACATTCGTAAAGTGAGCGGATGACTGTCATATATTTTTTTACGTTAATATTTTTAGTATGAAAAAAATAAGACGAAATAGAATTCAGTAAGTTTCAGAATGATTTAGCTGTAAACCTGGTAAAAACAACACTTTTATACATTTAATGTGTCAAGCATTTATTTTACATATTTATCATACTCGTATTTCACCTACTAGTCCAGTCAATGAATGCCTTAACGACGGTGTAGAGAGAAATCCGTGGAACACAATTTCTGACCTCGGGACTTTATTTAGCCTAGTTAGGTGGTGAACATAGCAAAAGTCCCCGCCCTTAGCCCTTGAGCCGGCGGGGAGAGGGGGGTTTAAAGGTACCACTTTTCGGTTTTTCGCTTAATCCTCGGAAACTATGAGTCCTAGTGACATGACTACTATGAACCAAAAAAAGCTTATTCAATTTGCTACAGGTGAGACCGTCAAGTTTTTCTATATCTTGTATAGTTTTTGCGGCATCTGCTCTAGAAGGTCTGTAAAATTGGAAATTTTATTGTTGTCTTACATGTTCCTTTCAGGAGAAAATCGACTAAATCAACATTGAGCAAACACTATAGACATGCGGGAGCATGTTAAGCCTAGTTCCATGGAGGGGACTGCACCGTGCGTATATTTAGACGAACCAATTAGAGCCACTTTTGACTCCTCATCATTCAAAAACTACTGTGCATTAACACTTCAAATTTGGCTCATGTATTGAGACTTGCAAGATATACATCAGCTTCAAATTTCATAAATATACCTCAAACGGTTATTTAGGTATTGACGTTCAAAAATCGATATTTAGAGCACTACTATCTATCTTTCACATGTGAAATGTTAAAATTTACTGGTTTTTTATTTGTTCCTTTGTATTTACATAACTACCTTTCTGGATGCCAAATTTGAACCTTCGAGGTCATCTGGAAGTGGTTAGAATTTGGTCTATAGGTCAGACGTGTAGATTTTTGGACGTCAATATCTAAAGAACCGTTTGAGGCATATTAATGAAATTTGAAACTGATGTATATCTTGCAAGTCTCAACACATGAGCCAAATTTGAAGTTTTAATGCACAGTAGTTTTTGAGTGATGAGGAGTCAAAAGTGGCTCAAAGTGATTCGTCTAAATATACGCACGGTGTAGTCCCCTCGCAGGAACTAGGCTTAACATGCTCCCGCATGTCTAGAATGATTGCTCAATTTTGATTTAGTCGATTTTCTCCTGATGGGAACATGTAAGACAAAAATAAAATTTCCAATATTACAGACCTTCTAGAGCAGATGCCACGAAAACTATACAATTTATAGAAAAACTTGTCCATCTCACCTGTAGCAAATTGAATATGCTTTTTTTGGTTCAAAGTAGTCATGTCACTAGGACGCATAGTTTCCGAGGATTAAGCGAAAAACCGAAAAGTGGCACCTTTAAACCCCCCTCTCCCCGCCGGCTCAAGGGCTAAGGGCGGGGACTTTTGCTATGTTCACCTCCTAACTAGCCTAAATAAAGTCCTGAAGTCAGAAATTGTGTTCTACAGTTTTCCATCTATAATGCTTTATTGACTGGACTATACATATATGTAGTTACTAAACAACTACAGTAACAAATAACAGTTAAAAGTACCTAGTAAGTTATTATTAATTTACAGTATAATTGATTGTAAGATAAAATATTGAAGTCTATAATATTATGATCTCCTAAAAAGGCATACAACGCCTGGGCAATTTTATCAATTAATTCAATTTAAAAATATTGCTAGTAGTTTTGGCCAGAATTTAAACAAAACGCTACATTTGACACCACGCCTTTACGTAACGTTGAATGGTTTGGATGGTTAGCAGCATGCCAATGGACGATTTTAAGTTCAATAGTGAACTGCAGTTAAACGGTTCGTGATGCGTAATTAATCTTTTAATAGATATGTTTGTTCGTTATTAAAAACAGATTACTTCAAATTGCATAGGCATTTTTATCGATTGCTTTAACTGCTGTATTCAATGTAAATGTTTGTGCACGTGTAAATTATTGATCTTGAAGGTTTATTGTAAGGTATTTATTTCATTAAAACCTCATCATTATCATCATCATCATCGGTTATTAAGTCTCTTATAGTAAGAGCACGCACCTTGCATGAACGCCTCTTATTTTGGAGAGGGTAGGTGGTTTTCCAGTCATTTAGAGTGTAATATAAATAGCGTTCTTTGGGGATAGAGTGAAGGGTTCCAATTAAAAATCAGAGTCTAAAATGAACAAACAACTTATGTTAAAATGTTCGTGTTGCACTCACTCGTTTGATGGTTGGAGACTCTACATTTGAAGCTCAACTTACAACAGTCCAGTACTTCTCACTTCTAGAAAGAGGTCAATTTTAGTCGAATCCAACTCGTCTGTGTGGCATTTTGGAAGCTTCGCGATACCTTCTTTATTATTCAACATTTCATCTCCCCGCATATTATTGCTTGCACAGCTCCAAAATACAACTTCGTGCATTCAGCTAAACATTTAACTATAGCAATTTGAGAATTATGTTTCCACAGAGCGTTCCATGAAGATCTACTTAATTAAAATAATGTTACAAATCGCTACACTATTCATGATGCTTGTAGTACACGGGCTGGGCTATTACTGGAGTGAGGCAACCCACGTTGAAGTTAGAAGAGGAGGAGCATTCCTACTTTGGAATGGATTTAACAGACATTTCAATATGTTCAACTATAGCAAAGAGTGAGTCATGAGATAAACATCATCATTTCAGCCACAGGATGTCCAATGAAGAGTGTGCTTAACGCGAGTTTGCACGAACGTCGTCGCTAGTGAATATGTCAAAATATTTAAAAGATTTTGTTTCTTGAAAGTAAGGTACAATCTGTCATACTATTAATGCCATTTTTTACACAGTCGCCAGCAAAGACGTTTGATGCAAACTCGCACTAAGTCCCTGAATGCCTCCTTTTATGATTTCCAGATTGGCCGGTTGGCAGCGGCCTGCATCCAGCGCCTTCCTGTAATCTTTGCAATCTTTACGTGGTCGTCTGTCTACCTTGCCTCATTATCAATAGACAAAATAAATAATTCAAATTGTTCATTGCATTCCTTAGTCTATTAATCCTCTCAACACTCCATGAATTTATAGATGATAATTACCATCTATCGAAGCACAAAATAGCCCGATTAAACTCGTTAAATACTAAGTAATAGCATGTCCAACAGTTTTTTTTGTCTTCGGCACTTTTTCGATTTTGGTTAAAGTACCTAATAATGTGCTCAGTTTTTATTGAACTTCGAAAGTTCTGAGCTCCAAGGGCGTTTAGTTGCAGTCTGCTAATGGATACAGTCTGCTACCAAACGTGAAAAGAGAGAGAGATCCAACACTACGTAGCTTACAAGCTATGTTTTGTTGATCCCCTTGAGTTGATGGACTATTGAGTTAATGAGGGCTATGAACGTGACGATTGGTTGGGATTTTGTTATGATTTGTTATTCAGTAGGTCCCGTAGTACACTTATGATAAAAAAGACATATTATGCTAATAATTTATGGTATGGATCTATCAGTGAAGTAGTTAAGGTTATAGAATGAAATGTTGAAGATGATAAATTATCTTTCCTGTCCACTTACTCAATGAACAAAATACTATTAATTTGACCCTTCACAGTCCACATCCTTCTCAATAAATGCACGCTTACGTATATCAAATAATCTTTCAGACGATGAGCGCTCAACGCGCGTTTCATGTATTTTATCGGAGTACACATACTAACGCGCGTTTTGTATCGAGAGTCAGGGCACTCAGGGTCTATTTTGGAAAAATATTATTTCATCATTGGATACACACAGCCGGTTTTGGACATTTCTTACTCAAATAAAGTTTACTTAATCTGACTTTACTGTTCTTAATGAACGTATGATGATAGCTCAGTCAGGTTTATAGAGTTTTATTGCTACATCCTGGACTTAGCAAATATGCGACGCACCTATAAAGTCAGACCGATAACTTGGGACTTAGGTCATCTAATTTATGTAAAATGCTAAAATCTAGATTTCAATTATCTGTGTAAATCATAGATTCATGAGTTCTTAATGTCGTTAAGTAAAGTAATTCGTGCCTGTATCGTTTATTGCTACAGAATTTAGCAGATTAAGATGGTTGCAGTGGGCATTATTTAGAGATTCATAGTATTAAAAGTTCTAAAATAAATATGAAATACCTATCCTATACTAATAGTTTGTAATCTATACATTTGTATGGTATATGTTGTGTAAGTATGTCAGAAATACATTACAAAATAAATTTAGAAGCGAATGTAATCTAAATTGATGTACTTAGTTAGTAGGTAGTTAATTTTGTCACATTGCAAATGCTAAAAATCTAGATTCATTTAGATGTTTATAATTATCATCATTATAGACGATCTATTTGAAACACCCATATCTTATGATTGCTAAATATTTGGTTTACATATTTTAGAGACGTGAGATGTTTTTAATTTTGTCTTAGTTAAAATAAGCTTTTCATTAGTCATAGTGTTCTTATTAAATCATTTGTTTTTGTCAAAGCTAAATTAATTTTATTAAAAAATAAATACCTACTTATCACTTGAGATTGTGAAAGAGTTTCCTATCATATTACATTTGAGGAAATTCTTATTTTAATGTTAATAAAATAACTTTTGCATTAAAAATTGTATATTCGTTGTATTTACAAACTTACATCTATATCATTGTACAAAACATTTTTTTATACATTTTCTTCTTAGTTCTAGTACTGTCCATTTGCGTTGCTGTATGTAAAACTTATTTTCTATACATTTATGATATTAACAAGAGAGAAATTTCACAGAGAGAAGTTTACAGAAATTATTTGAGATCACATTAATAGACAGGAAAGTTGTATGAGTTTAACAAAGAATATTGCATGTATGAACAAACTTAAAACTACTATTATTTATAACAAGTGGTATAGAAATAATAATAGTGGGCATAAAATATCATCACATACATCAGTTCACAGCATAATATCGTTAATGGTAACATCTTAAAATGATGATAGAGGGATACAAAAATATATACGACGAAACAAAAATAAAAATGAATTTAAATTATTCGAATGATCGTAACATTAAATTTGGTTCGTATAAAAATTATTACTTCAAAGCAAGCCCATCTTTCAAATTAAAATGCTATCTTACAAGTCTTTATCACAACAAGGTTTGCATTGAAGTTACAATTTCATTAAATACCGAACTACTATTGCGTTAAGAATGTTACATTGCGTTTTACCGCGGGTTGCCCTCGATCATCAGTCGGCGCGGAGTTTAGTATCTGTAGCCGGTTTGGGAGTTGAAGTTGCCAGAGCCGGAGCCTCGTGGGCCGGAGTTGGGGGTGAGGTATTGGCGGGACGCGGCACCACCGAAGGATTTCTGACCGAATCCGGCTCCGCCAGCGGAGCCACCAAAACCGCCAGCACCAGCGCCGGCTCCGAAACCGCCAGCACCAGATCCAGCTCCGAAACCACCGGCACCAGATCCAGCTCCAAAGCCACCGGCACCAGCACCGGAGTAGCCACCAGGTCCGCCGCTGGAGTAGCCACCAGCACCGCCAGCGCCCGCACCCTCACCGCGGTAGGTACCTGGAATTAATGGAAAGGATTCTTATTTAATTCATCAAGAAGACAACTAAGAACACAATATGAATACCTAGTATTTATCTGGTATTTCACCAAAAGACTAAGAACTTAATGTAGAGTTTATAAAAACTACTTATATTTCAGATAACTTTCTAAATAAAGGTAAGAGTAGTGACCGACCGAATATTCGTTTTCGTTTTCGTTTTCGGCCATTTTCGGCCAAAAAAGGGACATTCGGCCATATTTTCGTTTTCGGCCAAAAACCAGCCGAAGCTTCGGCCAAACCGAATATCAGAAATAAATGAATGAGACGGTGACGTTTATCGTTCCGATATCTTCGGGAGTGAATCTGGTGCACTCATGGTTCCAATAAGACTTGAACGGACGCGGTATTGTCTCACTCTTTTGAAGTTGTGAAGTGAGGTTACGTTGTAGAGGGTGTCCAGCGAGAATTTTCCAAGTTCAAAATTGAATACAAATAAAACCAAAGAGTTTTCATTAAGCTTAATTGTTTCAAAATAGAGTGTAATGCGGATTTGAAATACGCCATGAGTCACTGGTCGGGAGCCTACAGAGCGTTCGCAGATGAGCAATAAGTATTTGAAATGTAGTGTCCAATGATCGACGAATGTCTGATACCACAACTGCAACTGCATCTCGGTCAACTACGTAACTATTTCAGCAAGAAGGTGTCTCACCGCACACGGAGAGTACCTCGATGGAGACACTGAGGACTTTTTTTTTCAAATAAATGATCAGCAAGTACAGGGACATGTACCCTAGCCGCCTCGGTCACCAGATCTCACACCATGCGACTTTTTCTTGTGGGGATATCTCAAGTCAAAAGTTTACAGCAAACAATCATTAAATAATTCAGGTTCTGTAAGAAAATATCCGCCGTGAAGTTGCAGGAAAATTATTAGCGCGATTTGCTCTCGCATAGTTGCGAATGTAAGGGTCCGGCTGTGAGAGTGCCTATAGTAAAACGGGCATCATTTAAAAGACATTGCCTATAAAAAATTAAATCCGCGTTGTTAAACTCCAGTTTGCATTAGTAATAAATAATAAAAAATAATTAATTTATTTGTATTCATTTTTGAAGTTGAAAAATTCCCACTGGACCACACTGGACACACCCTTTATTTCTTCTTCACTTCCCAATATTTTAATATACACCGGAAATAATATTCTACTAAGAATTCATAATAATTTTTATGTGTTTTAATGCCAGTTTTTTTAATCAATCCTTATCAAAATCAACTGTCAAATGTCATTATGTTTTTGGTCAAAACATTAACGGTTTTCAAAGATTTTACATAATTTCAGATTGAAATTTGAGAGTAAGGTCATTTTCGTTTTCGTTTTCGGCCGAAAATGAGACTGCAGCCGAAGCTTCGTTTTCGTTTCCGTTTTCGGCTGAAAATTCATATTCGGTCGGACACTAGGTAAGAGCCTCTAAATATCAATGGAAAAGTAATCCCACGTGTTATTTATGATACCTTCCATGAAAATAATGATAATAAATCAATAAAGTTACATGATCCAAGTTCAAAACCCAGTAATTTTCCAGAACACTAAACATTTTTGCCTCTCATTAAACAAACTACGCCGGTCAATGAATTAATAAACCGATTAACCATCACATTAGTTTTAATTACAGCCTTTATGGTCTCCGATCGCCATAGCGACGTGTCATCCTCACTACATACCGAATTAATACGGGCAATTATCGCAGAAGATCTAGAATGCGGTGACTGCGAAGGCTGACACTCGTATTGGCATATATTTATTGCCTTTCATTCCGTTTGTTTGTTTTTATTAAGACTCTGCAATAATAAATAGCTAAATGACATGCTTACTCTTGAGACATTGGAGAGAAATAGACAGTAAAAAGTGTACTAATTTTACAAAATATGTACAAGATTTGATGCCTTATGTAAGTCTAAACAAACGTTTAGGTATGTGACAGTCTACTGATACGTTGATTTGTTTGTATTAACCTTATGTTTACTGATTTGAAATGATTACTTACATAATAGTAACAACTTGACCTGGGGCCAACTTATTAGATTAAAATGCAATATCAATCAGTTTCCGTCATAGATAGACACCAACGCGCGTGTAATGCTAGTTATGTATTTATATCATTTATGACGATATTATGACATAGCCTCCAGGTGTTCGCGTGACAAACATATCGCATCTGATTTATGTACTTTTCCTAAATTAAGTTGTTTTTAATTACTTAAATGTTATTTTGAGCTTTGTTACGTCTTGTTTGAATAGTGTAATTGGTACTACCGTTCTATTCATGAATAAATAAATAAATAAATCGTTTAAATATTGCCGTAGAGTTTCGGTATGCAACCTCTTCAGTGATTGTAAAACAATCTCATCATAATTGTACCGGTAATCTCAATTGCGGCCATCTTGCGCAAGCGCAGGATGCACGCACGATTCTGCATTGCCGGATTGGGCCATGAAGTCAGCGATTGGATGCTTCGAATTCTTGACAAGCTATAGCTATATTACAAACAGTCAGCAGGAAATGACTGTGTATGGAAGGCAAAATCGCATTATTCTAAAGAATTATAAGATATTATGACGTGCTCTACATAATATTGTATGAGATCATATCGCATCTCTTATAACTAATACATGAAACATCAAAAAGGTCTTATAAATTGATTTTCTACCTTTTTACTGATGAAGCTTCTTTTGCCCATGTTTATTATCCAAAAAGTATTTTGTAACTAACATAAAATGTTAGATTGGTTGACCAAAAACAGCAAATAAATGTGACAGTTACTTTGTGATTATGAAATCGCATCGCCTCTGCGTTTTTTTAGTAGCCATTTAATGAAGCAATTTAAAAATTAAAACTGTCACGAGTTCACTAGTAGCATTAGGTGCTGAACCTGTTTGTAATTTAATATCTTGTTGTTTCCACTTTCTAAGATTTTTCAAATTTGATTGAGTGTTATTCTACTAGACCCTCTGGTAGGTTATGCATCCGGTTGTTCGGTAGTAGGTATGTCCAAAATATTTCTAAAATTATGACGCGTTTTATATTGCTGTCATTACTATGACGAGGACGAGGTCGGTTTTAGAAATAAGATACTAACATTAGCCTAAGTTTTTACTAACATTTATGGATCTCTGTTGTCTGAATTAAATACTTTATTTATTACTGACACGCTCGTTTTGCGGCCCCACACTAACGGGCGCATCCGAAAGCTCGCAAGGTCGCGACCGCCGTTCCCGCGAACTTGAGAACTTCAACTTTTTGTTACACTTACTTTATATCGCAATTGACATGACGGTCGGAAAACAAAATTAGTATTGACAAAGGGGTCTATTGTGAATGGAAATATCACGGCCTTTCAAAATGTTGTGTTACTTGCGCCCCGACTTTGCTTGGTGTGAATTGATGAGGTTGTATTCGATTACATTCTACTATAATATTATCAGCTCATTTTGTGAATGTATTTTGGATGATATTTCTAAGGATGTTTTCAAAGCTTGCCTTTATTGGATCAAAAAGCTTTACCCCTTACCTATTATTAAACTTGACCCTGTTTTAAGTGACGTTTAGTATGGAAATGACACTTTAAAACAGTATTAAACTAAGTTGTAACTTTTTAATAATAAGGGGGTTAAAGTTTTAGCTCTATTGGACATCACAAACATTTAATTTAATTAACATGTATTCCAGTTTAACGTATATTGAATGCGCTAATTTCTGTTTATCCAAAGCTGTGGAAGCTCCTCTTTTGTATGTAAGTAATAAATTAACAAATAATTACGCGGACAAGATTATGTAAATAACAATTTACTGTCTGTCCATCATTGTTCTATCAAGACTATTAATCAAATGATTAGCACATCTTAACTGTAACCAGACGATGACTTGTTAATGTTATATCAGTTACCCATTATGTAAGATTATTTAAACATAGTGTAGAAATTTGCAATGCGATTTTAATAGACTGAATGATCATTTCACAAAAGCATGCCGGCCGATCAATTAAATCTTTCAAAAACTGAAACTGTTCAAATATCAACTGTTTTTTTTTCTGATTTAATGACATTTTGATGTAAGTAGGTCCGCTGGACTTACAAAAACAATTGAAGAGCGCTATTTCTTGTGGCATTTGTTTTGATACCATTATTTTTCTGAATAATAAACAATGTTTTAAAAAAGTAACGATGCGTTCGGTTTTTAAAATTCCTTGTTTTTAAATTGGCAAAATTCATTTGTTTCTGGAGTTTATGTTTAAATTCTTAGGCGGTGTTAAAATATTAAACAAGACAATCAGTATTCCAATCATCGTGTCACAATCTTTTGTTTCTATATTCTCACAGAATTTTCTCAGTCTATGGGAGTAAAATATTTCAACCAAATTAAGACTCTATTATTACAACAATAGAGTTTTAAGGTTTTGTAATAAACTAATGTCTATTTTGTCCAGACCATTTTATGGTGACATTAATGAGTGTGTGTTAATTTCGTGCTAAGATTGGGAGATAAATGTACAATTGTTCTGCTATTAAAATTACATGATAATAATGGAGATTTTAATCTTAATTTAGGAGACGTTTAATAAACCATTCTATTAGAATGACAGCCAGTTTTATTAGACTAAAAGAAACATGTAGATTTGAAACACTCACATTTTAACGTAACAATAGGTATAATTTTTCCAAAACAAAATTTCAAAATTCGACTCTATTTCTATGCTTGTAAAACCATTTCATCTTGTAATTAGTAGCGAAAACCAATCAAAATGGCGAATGTTTGTGCTAGCACATCATCCTGATTAATGACCCATCCCAGATGTTCTCAATTTCATAATTTATCGGTCGCTTTTGCCTCAAAAGCCTCAATTACAAAACGTGGACTCGTGCGCATGTGGCGCAAGCGATCATCTAGACCTAGGCCACTGGTTCTCAAACTATACTGAAATGGTAAGGAAACGTTCTAGCTACAATCAGCGCTTTAC